TGGAACCACACGATGCTCGATTTCTTGCAAATAATGCATATAACTTGCTCTGATGTATGCTAGAATTCGTTCATACATTGAGCGCTGCATGCTGCATATACACGATTTTTATATTTATTATTTCATAGTTTATTTCCTTGCATGCACCAATTAAAAGAAATAATTGCTAATTTTGTAGTTATTTATCAAACGTCAGATATGCATCAAAGCAAGCATAGCAGTGCATACTTATCATTCAAGAAATCGAGCATCATGTGATTTCATCTTTATAATCCGATATTCATGCTATCTTACAAGGAAAATTTTTTTTATTTCAATGTTTTGTTCTTGTTATCATTAAAGCTATGATAAATCAAATACTAAGTATAAGTATATTCAAGTCTATAACAGTCAAAACTAGATCTTCTCATGCCTAAATAATTTACAGTGAATTATCTATATCCTATATATTAGGTGTAGTAAAAAGAAATCCATTATTTTTGCATGAAATTGAATGGAAAAATAATGGATTTCTTTTTACTACACCTAATATGAACATATATATATATATATAAAATATATCATATTTTTGTAATTATTCAAACTGCGCGCCGAAATTTTTTCGGACTTTATCAAACGCAATTAAACTACTGCAATAATATTACAAGTTAATATCTACGTTTAAATCTATCTATTTATCATTGAGATTTTTCATTAGAAATTATTCGTTTGGGCTAGTGATGCGCAACCTGTCTGTCAATTAATTTTCTAATCGTCTCAAATACAGCCGAAAATATAAAATTGTATCTTCTGTTTTGTGTAAATTATTAAAATAATAAGATTATGCGTACAGTTTCATTTGTAAGATAATGATTTAAAATTCTTTAAGAATTTATACTTGAAAATGTAGCTGTTATTTCATAAATGAATGGTATGTTTGTTAAATATTTGATTTTTATAAATTATCTTAAATTTTTCATTTTCTTATTGATGAGAAAATTTCAAGTTAATCATTCTGTTAGTTACTT